GTTCCACAAGTACGACAAAAAAAATACTGTATTACTCACATGACCATCACTGTGTTATGTTGAGTAGTGTGTACTGAGTAATTCACCCACCAGGCCACAGCAGGCTATTTCTTATTCTTTACAAGTTCTTTATTCTGTAGTAAAAGTACATTTATGTAAAAGTAGAGGCATTAAGTCAAAGTACAAAAGTATTAACAGAGTTAAGTCATCACAGCTGAAGTCATCACGCCCAGCCTAACGTGAAACATGTTCCTGAAGGGTGTCTTTGTCTTCAAAGACAAAATCACCATCCACTGCAGCAGTTTCTTTAAGAAAGTGAAACCTGTGTGATTTTAACAGCGTAAAACAATGATGCCATGAAGAAAGTGCAGCACTCTGAAACTTGGTTTCATCCACATCCAGAAAACTCACAAAATGCTCTTCAACCTTCTAGTTTTAATCTCTACTGTGAAAACACCTGTTCAGCATTCAGTCCACTTTGTTATTGTCACTGTTTTGCTTATTATGTTTTTTAGCTGTACTCTTACCTCTTGTCCCGTTTGCTGTCTTGGTGGTGGGTTAAATCCTGGGGGAATGGGTTAAAGTTAAATGGTTGCATGCCAGTCATTTCGCTACACACAAGCCTGTGTCTGTTTTAGGCTTTTACTCTACCGTAGCTCTCCTCTTGCAAGGGCGGGAGACCCCCGAACCACCAGGGGTCTCTAGCTGCATCTGTGAGGAGTTACTTGGGTCTGCGTGAGTACTCACCACAGATCTGTGCTTTTTTCTCCAAATGTCTGCTTGTTCTATCACCGTCTATGCACTTCGATCCTCTTCTGCCTTATCTGGTCCATGGATGAGAAGACATTTTTAACTGTTTGAATGAAAAGTACAATTTTTTTATGCCATTGATTTCCCCCCCCCCCCCACTAGCAAACATAGACTTATCTGTAGAGGGGCGAGCATTCTCTCCCTCTCTCTGAGCTGCTCATGTGACTTTATATTTTGTTAAAGAGATGAAAGAACTTTAAAGAGCATTTGTGTATCTTGTAGAGTTTTGCTTTGAGGACAGTTTTCTGTGTTCTGCAGTTTAAGCAAAGTTTAATCCAGTTCAACTTGTTTTCATCAGGTTTTACAGCTATCACAGCAACCAATCCAATATGGTTGATAAAGACCCGCCTACAACTGGATGCGAGGTAAATATGAAACTTGAGTGTGTACTTAACATATTTTACATATAATTATATATAATATGAATATATCATATTTATATAAAAATTGCAATTATGAATTTTGTGCACATTTTTAGGACAGCAACAGGATGCCCTCAAATGTGTAATGTCACAATCTGTCAACAGATTTGATAAAAGTTGTTGTGACTTTTCAAAATGTATCCGTTTGTTCTCAGGAATCGAGGTGAGCACAAGATGAGTGCGTTTGAGTGTGTGCGGCGGGTGTATCAGACAGACGGCCTGCGAGGCTTCTACAGGGGAATGTCTGCATCCTATGCCGGCATCTCAGAGACTGTGATCCACTTTGTGATTTATGAAAACATCAAACGACGCCTCTTGGAGGCAAAGGCAACGCAAAACATGGACGACGAGGAGGAGACATCTAAAGATGCCTCAGACTTTGTGGGAATGATGCTTGCTGCCGCCACCTCCAAGACCTGTGCCACAACTATCGCTTATCCTCATGGTGAGAGTCAGACTTAGCGATGAGCTAACATAGGCTGCTTTGGTGCTCATGTTCCCTATAACCTTTTCCATCTTCCCTTTCCCTTCTGCAGAAGTGATCCGGACAAGGCTACGTGAGGAGGGCACCAAGTATCGCTCTTTCTTCCAGACTCTAACGACAGTGCCCAAAGAGGAGGGCTACCGTGCCCTGTACCGCGGCCTCTTCACTCACCTGGTACGACAGATCCCCAACACCGCCATCATGATGTGCACCTACGAGTTGGTGGTCTACCTCCTGAACGGTTAAACCACCCCCCCCACACCTAAACCTTTAAGACAGTATATGTAACCCTGCCCTTGTTCGGAGATGGAGAAAAGAAAACGAGCGCAACTGTACACCAGTTAGCACAACCACCTCACCAGAAGAGGACGGGGCGGCGTCATGACGACCATCGTCTCAGTGATGCAAGCGGGTTGTTAAAAAATAAGTTGGGAGCATTGTTGTATAACCAAAGGGTCTGGCACAAGGAGGAGGATTGAAAAGATCCTTGCATTGGTTTGGGGAATCTTGGTTTAATTGGCAAACAAACAGTTTCCCTATTTTTATTTTTATTCCATCCTTTTCTCCCTTTGCTTACATTTATGTTGCCTGTGCAAGCTCAGACTACCTAAGAAAGCACCAGTTACATTGTATTCTGCATCAAATTATGAACGAGAATACAGTAATTCTTAGGAAATAGAGAATGCAAGTTCTGCAGTGGTGATCAGATGTTAAAATAACCATATTTCCTGCATTCCTAGAAGCCCAGAATACAGAAATGCCCAGACTCAGGAGCGGGTTCTAAAGGTTAGAGTAGTGAGTGAGAACAAGGAGAAATCAGTGCTTTGGCTTGTTGAGGAAACTGAGGAGAAAAGGGCGGAGTAACGGAGGGAGGCGAATGGGAGATGTGCCTTGTGTGATGACAGGACTTAGACCATGATGCACGGCGGCGGTAGGAGGAGGCGGAGCTCTGGTTGACCTGTTACTGAGGATGTAGAAATGTAGTTGTACACTGGTATTGTGAGATTTTGGGTGTTCTTTTACATATCGTGAGCTTAACACTGGTGGTGATATCCGCATGATGCAGGACTTTACATATGTCTGCTGCTCGTTACACTACAAACATGATGGATCTCTATTACAAGTCTGCTTAATGACATTGACCAATGAACCTGTAGAGGTGTGTGGGAGAAGAGTGCTCATTAAGGTTTGTTAGATGATAGAAAATCACCAAACTAAACCAGAATTTAATCCACTATTCTAACTACTGGAATATAAATAAGACACTGACCCATATTGTGAATTTAAAAGAAGAATATAATTAACACATTTTAACTAATGTAATGTTCATGGATGCAAACAAGAGTGTTTGTTCTTATTGCACTTTTCAATGTCTTTCTCTAGTATCTTCATCTCATTTTGTTAAGTTTCTTGACCAGTTCAGTTTTCCAGGCGAGGACAATCCTCAAGAGTTTTGTTCTGGAAAATGTGTAGAGTTTAAACCAGCATGTGAAGGAAGTTGCCAGTAATGTTCTTATAAATACACATTAATTAAATGCAGACCAGTTTTAAAAAAACAAATAAAACAACAGTAACTGTTATTTTGATTCCTTCCTGTTGTTAAGTTGTCATGTAAGGAAACAATCACTGCATTTCAACTGTTTAAAAACACGGAACAGCTTTTATTTTGTGTAATGTGTATGTGGATGTCCTCATGGAATGGAAAGGTGCTTGCGCTCTGCTTTTTTTCAGGTCATGTTTTCAAACTTACTCAACTGACAGAAGTTGTGATTTGATCACAGAATACATTTTCCCTTAGTGGTTACATGACACGAGAGCCCAGCCTGTTGACGACTTAATGCTGTGGTTATCTTTTCGTGTATAAAAACTTTGATTCATAGCATATCCTAACAGTTCACTGCTTCATAGCTCAGCTCGCTGGTGTGCAGCAGTAAGGGTATATCTGGTGTAAACCTGCAGCTCGGCTATGCTCACTCTCTCAGTGCCTGTTGTGCTTGAGATTGCAGCCACAGCCTCACTGTTTTTCCCCAGATGCTTTCCTCCAGTAAAAGAACTGGTGTGATCCTCAATGTGAACATTGAACAGTTTTACAGCACACGTGAAGGATGCATTAGATTAGCCTCATTGTACAAATCTTAGCAGAGGTGTGTTCATGTTTGCAGACAGTGCCATCAACGCACACTATTGTCGTAGTAAGATGTGAGTCCAGCTTTGACTTCTTTGCTGCTAGTAGTTACTGGACGTTTGTGTATCACTGTGCTGGCTACACTCCTATTGATTTAAAACAGGACAGATAGTGTGAGTTGATGAAGTGGTCAGTTTACCCAAATAACGACAAAACATTCTCTTGTGTTTTAGCCCTACTGATAGTTTTATATTTATTTTTCCAGGTTATGGGATATCACTGCTGTTAGACTCAAACAAGAACCCATTCAGTTTTGTTGTATCGATGCAGAGATCAGCAAAAAAATGCCAGAGGTCAAAGGGAAAATCTGATTTGCTTCTATTAATTTATTTTTACTCCTTACTTGGGTGAACTGACCCTTTTAAACTGTAAATTTCTATGCATCTCTTTCCCTCAAATCAGTGTTGGTTATTTGTCAGCGGATGCGTTCTTCCCTGCATTCTACACTTATTCTGTTGCACCCATTCTTTTGCATTGTCTGGTGACTGTGTGTGAGTTTGAGTGTGTGCGTGCACGCTTAACTGACAATCGCATGTCACTCAGTCGTGTCGTTTGTGTAAGAGACCATAGAAGTATGTATGCACTCAGAAGAAAAACTGCAAACAGTGTTGTTTTTATCTCTATAAATAAATCGTTGCCTTTTCTTGTCTTCCCTTTGTTTTTCCGTGTTGTCTTTGATGAGCCCATTGTGAGTGCGGCTCAGTCTATGCATTCTCTCATACCTGTTTTTGTAAAACAAAAAGTCAATAAAATGGAAAGAGTGCAAGTAAATGTAAGTGTCTAAGAATGATGGTGTGACTGACGTTTTTTCTCACCACTGAAAATCATGATTCTCAGAAAAGTGAAAATCCCATTGTAGTTTAATTTTCACACATATGTTGCTTTGATTCACGAGTTCAAATATCTGACCCAGTGGTGCATAGTGTTGGGCCACACTGCATCTGTATTTCAGTGTGATCTTAACATGCAGAGAACCTTTTCAACAAGAATCTTTTCACCCATCTGAATGAGTCATCTGTCACAAACTGGCTACTGGCACACGTGATCAGGCCTGATGGAAATATAAAGTCCAATATTGACTCTTCCTTTTAGCTCTGCTTGGGTCTCCACTAACCCTTGGGCAGGGGAACATTTCAATGTGGAGCCTGAAGGGAGAGGCACAGGTAAAATGTTAAACTTTGTTTTTTAAGCCCTATTAAATATCCAATTTATAGTTTTCTGCTATACATAAACTATTAATAAATTCACAGGAAAGACTTTTGCTTTTCTGACAACAAATAAATAGCAGCTATTTGTAATTTAAAAAAAAAAACATGCATACATGGATTCATACAAGGTTATAGGAACGTGGGCCCCTTAGCATCCTTTTGTTTAGTTGTCATGCAGTGTCTCTTTACTTTTTGTCTCTTTGTTATTGTGTGACTGTTGAAAATCAGATTTTGGTGCAACATATCAAATGTTGTGAAATTAAGTTTTCGGACTCAACTCCACAGTTCACACAGAGGGAAGATGTAAAGGTATACTCGCTGTGATTAGCTTGGTCAGAGGGAGAAGACTTAAAAACGTCACCCCAGAGACTCATTCAAAAGAGAAGTTAATGGCAATTTAATATTATTTTAAACATTCACCTTTTTAACATTTCTATAGAGTCTTATTTACAATAATTTATCTTACTGTGACATTTAATCAACTAAACATTTATATAACATTACTATTACTTGTAAGGTACAGACAGTGACTTGTGGGCTAACCAGAAAGGTGAGTATGTTTGACCATACTTATACTTGTTTACCCTGAATAGTCACATTTATTTATTTGTTTATATGAATTCATCTGTTTTATTGTTTTATTTTCTCTTCTCTTGTTCTAATGTTTTTCTCTGTAAAGCACTTTGTAACGTTGTAAAGAAAAGTGCTGTATCAGTAAAGTTTAGGATTATAAGTTTATTAAATGATGTGTTGATTGATTGCTCTCATTGTTTTTATAACTGTAACCACGTCTCAGAAAAAGCAAGTGTGAATACAGTGCAACTGAAAAATATGTTTGCTGTAAGTACATGTAGCGCCACCAGGTGGTGGTGTTTACTGAGAGTCCAGTACATCATCAGTTCAGTGGAGCAGATACTGAGAGGTGACAGCCTGCTGCCTGATTGCTCAATTAAAATGATGGCAAGATAAAAATAAAAAACATGTTTAACTTTATTCTGCAACAGAGACACAAGTGTGTCGTAAAATAATAAGTGTGGCTACATGTAAACAAAACAGAGTGATGTCAGGACAATGAGCTGAGAAACACATTTATCTAATTCACAGCTCATTTCCCTGCCTGCACAACTGCATCACATCATCACATTAGCCCCAGCAGGATCGGGCTGACTCACACACCACGTGTAGTTATTTTGTGTCAGGCAGTGAAAGGACGGAGGAATGTGTTCAACACAACGTACTCGACAATCTGCCAGAGAGCACCGGTGTTCTCCAAATAATACAAAGTGCCTCTGGGTGTTGGTTGTGCCTCGCTTGTAAATTGAGCTTTGGGGACACACTGTGAAACGACAGCAGTGCGGTGTAATGACTGGCACCTTGTTTGCCTCTGAACTGTGGAGGGAGTGGAGGGAGTGGAGGGGACAGAAAGACAGACTTTTGCTGTGTTTTATTCAGCTCTGATGGACACTTCTGTGTTGTGGTGTTTTCTGTTTGTCTGGTTCAATCTAAAATCGAGGAATCTGTGTCTGAAAGATTGAATGTCTTGTTCCTTTCCATCTTTACAAACAAACCAAGGGTCTCATCCTCTTGCTTCCTGTTGTCTATTGCTTTCTAATTTCCAGTTATTCCTCTCACAGCAGGTAACATGTCCATGTAGGGGCATTCCAGCAATTTAGCATTGAACTTTCATTATGTTTGTGGATTCACAAGAGAGAGGTTTAGAGAAGAAGCAGAGGCAAAGATATCCTGACTAATCATCAAGCTCTGGAAACAGTGGAACACATTTGCCATTAAGCATTGTAGCTAGCAGTAGGATATCATGGGTCAGAGGTGTGTTTCGGTCTCAGTCAGCAGAGAAATCCCAGTAGTTCTGAAGGAGTATTTTCTCTCTCACGCTATAGCGCATGTGAGGGAGCTGTGGGTGGTACCAACAGTCCAGAAGGATTTGATTCTTCACCCACATGCTTTCAGAGATTTGTCACATTGTGGATGGTAAAAATTATCTATCTACTATTCACTTGTGATAAAGCTAGACTTTGTTAGCTTAGCTAGAAACATTTAGCGATATGGCCACAAGTGACAGGAAGGGATTGTTTTAAATACGAAGTCATTCATTCATCTATCTGTCAGCAGTAGGCTAGTGTAAATAAAGACTGTATATAAGCATGGATGACATGACTGCTCCCCAAAAGTGAAGCCAGAGCATCTTGATCATCTTGATCAACCCCTGGTGGCTGGCTGCAGTATAGCTTATAGACATCTGCCTCCTCCATGTTATTGGATGTGACATGGACCAAACTCAACGTCCAGAAAATACATAAAATCAATTTTACTTTAAAAAAATCAAGAACACCAAGGCAATTTCCTGTATGTGCAAACATACCTGGCAAATAAAAGAATTCTGATTCTGATTCTGATTCTGAATGCTTCACCAGTTCTCAGGAAGATATTAGACAACTTTGTACCGTCTGTGAGGAGTAGACCTTTGTTCATGCGTGAAGTGGAATGATTTTTCAATTCAGTATCTCTTTGTCCATTTGTGTCCTTCATATGATGAGGTCTTTTAATTAGAGTTCTGTCCAAACTAAATTTAAAATTAAGTTAACCGGAAAACTGCATCCATTTTCTGTCTGAAATCTCTGTCCCTCCACACCATCGAAGACTCTGTTTGTCCACATCGTGTTGTGCAATAGCTCATCCTAACCTCCACCAGTATTTGGAGGTTCTCAGCGGTGCCTAGAGCCTGCGTCCTGCAGGTGAGTCACCGACTGGCTTGACTTCACACGGAGCAGACTGTGCAGAGCAGCATGTCCGTCCGCTGCGGCTCTAGAGGAGGATGAAAAATACTCTGTGGCTGGGAATCGTGCTCATCTCCAGACTTGGGCAACCAGTTCTGGCTCATGCTTCACTGTGTGGAAAGTGGAAAACAACACCTACAAAGCATGAGTCAATTATTTGGGAGCTATGCTGGTAGACTGATGTATTTATGTTTGAACAGCGCCATGCTAGCTATTGTCTCCTGCTCCGAGCCTCCATGCTAAGCTAAACTATCCTTCCCCTGGCTCCAGCTTTTATCTTCACCCAAACCTAATCCTAACACCCTGACCCTAAAACAAACCCTCCTCAAATAGCTAAACCAAAACATTACCCCTAACCCTAACCAGGACAGTCAGAAACGTTTCATTAGGACCAGGCTTTTTGTCCCCATCAGGTTCATTGGTCCTGTGTCCTTATGGGTCTATGCTCAAAATCGTCTTCACAAAGATATATGTGCAAACTCACACGCACACACATCAATGGGAGGCAAAGTAAATGTAAGTTTGACCGAGTCAAGACAAACTACTCCCTTCTATTTCCTAACGAGCAGAAGTCCTCATGGTGATTCAGCGGCATTGTTTGACTGTCAGTGCACTATCCAGAACAGCCCAGTCCAGAGAGAGACGGACCCACAGGAGGAAGGCTTGACATGAGAGGACTGGAGAGAGACAGGCAGCCAGAGAAATGAAAAGAGAACGAATAAAAAGGACATAAAGAAGAGGAGATGCAGGGGAGAGGACATAATGAAAGACAGGATAAAAACATCTGATTCTAACAGAGTCACAGAACTTAGGGAGGTTTCAATCATGCTGGTGAGAACAGCCATGGCAGCTTTGTCTGAAGTCGATTGCAGGCAGACAGGACACACGCACAGTCACGCACACGGACACACAGACAGCCATTCATAGACAATAACTTACACCAATACAAATCCATTGCAGAGACACAGCATGGGATCTCTGAGTCATTTTCATTCAGAACGGCCTCTGTCTCAACCTTCTGAGCTGATGAGTTACAGACATTCACTGTCGGCAGTAACATTCACCAGGAGAGGTACGGACCAGAGGTTTCAACATTTTGGAAAAACACTTATCTGCACTTTAGCTGAGATTTGAACAAACATCACTTCTATTATTAATTGATCAAAGTCTAAAAATGACACGTTATGGTTTAATTTGTTTTCATATCATGTGCTGATTTAATGAACGGTGACATAAAGATGGTCGACATGACTGCTGGTAATCCCCGAAATTGAAGCCAAGGCATCTTGATCTCCACCTGGTGGCTGGCTGCAGTAAAGGTCAGGAATCCCACCTTCTCAATGTTAATGAATGGGACCTGACCCAAACTATAATTTTACTAAAGTACATGGTTCTGTCATTTTTGGTAATATCAAACTGTTCGTTCAAGTGTTGCATTCAGTCTTTATGCAGAGTTAAAACTAACTGTCACACATGACAACGTTATTGATATTCTCATCTAACTTACAGCAGGAAAGAGAAAATGCACATTTCCCAAAATGTCTAAATATTCTTTAAAAGATTAATCTGCAGAGGAGCGAAGAAAATCAATTGTGTGTCATTCTGACAAGGCAAGTGATCTCTGCTGAGTTAAACCCATTCACTTC